CCATCTCCGGGGCTCCTCTGGCCCCGCTCCAGCAGCTCCGTGTCTGTCCTGTGCTGAGGACCCCAGAGCTGGGGGCAGCACTGCAGGGGGGTCTCACCAGAGTGGAGCAGAGGGGGACAATCCCCTCCCTCGCCCTGCTGCTCACGCTGCTGAGGATGCCCCCAGGACACGGGGGGTTTCTGGGCTGCCAGCGCACATTGCCGGCGAATGTTCAGCTTCTCATCCCCCAGCACCCCCAAGTCCTTCTCCTCAGGGCTGCTCTCCATCCATTCTCCTCCCAGCTTGTATTTGTGCTTGGGATTGCCCCAACCCACGTGCAGGGCCTTGCACTTGGCCTTGCAACTATCCAGCAGTTTTGAACGGCTTCTCTAGAGCCATGCAGAAACATGTTAACTTGTCCAGTAAACTACTTAATGCAGCTAGCAATTTTTCATTTGCAGGACTGTAGTTATTTATCTAATAAAGCATCTCCCCAAAGCAAGTAACCCAGTTCCCTAAGATACATACAGAAATTTGAGAGAACCTATACAAACGCTAGCTCATTTAATACTTACAAGTTCTCCTGAAGCTTGCTGGAATCCTGCTTGGTTCCCAGCTGGCTCATTAAATTCTTTATTTGCGCAGCTGTAGATAAACAGATCACAAGATGAGTTAGTAAGACAAGTTCTAGTCCATTTTATTCCTTTTTGATTATACTCTTCCCACTTTCCCCAAAGGATTTTTCTCAATGTTTGACTTACCTCAAGATGGTAAGACAACACTTACACTCTTTGCTTTAAATGCAATTTGTATTTTGAACATCCCCATTTAGACATGATCCAGCCTAACTTTCAGATAAGAAAGTAATAGTGAGGCATACATACCCTAAAAGCTTGTGCATTCCTCTTCCTCCATCTTTTTAGACCAACTAACAGAGTTATTTGTTTCTACCAGCCTTGCTATTTCTGTATTTTAGTCTATCACTGCTGCAGAACAACTTTACTACGCTATGTTGCCGCTTTTGCATATTCTAAAGTTACTTAAATTATTAGTGCTCTGTTAAAAAACAAACAAACAAAACCACCAAAAAGAAAGACAAGGGTTGCTATCAGTTGAAAAAAAAAAAAAAAGGGACTTTTTCTGGTCATGATAGCCCAAACCTTTTGCAATACTGGCACAAAGCAATCTTTCAAGAACAGCGGTTAGCAATGGTGCACTTCATCGTCAGCTTGCATCAATCTGAAATCATGCTGTAGCGAGAAGAGATTCTCTAGCCCTCCTTCTCTCCTATCTCATATATGTTTTTCCACTATTTTCCTTCTGTAGGCACTAGTGATCATACAACCACACTATCAGGCATGTAAAACTGTTAACCTACCTGAAAAGCAAGTACCATCTTCTCTCCCCACTCCTTCTACCTTAGCAGATGATTTTTTTTGACAGATCAGCAAGCTGCTCCACTTTATTCTGCAGCTGCACAATTTTTAGCATTACTAAAGATGCTGAGCACACCACTTATGACAGCAGTACAAAGTTTAATTGGCTCAAATCAATCATGAACTTGTACACCATATCCCATCAAGCATCGAGAGAGGCAAGACCAAGGAGGATCAACGGAATATAGTTCTATAGGTAGCCGAACTGAGTTGAAATACCCCATGAATTTAACAAGAGCTACTTCCAATCAAGTGACATCCTACTGGTGTAATTTCTGCTTTCAGCCTGGAGCAAGCTGCCACTTCAGCTGATTAAATGTGTTGCTGAAGAAACATCAGATTCCTACAGCTGCCACTTCTTTTAAACTGATGTCCAATAGCTTATAACAACAGCAGCTCAGCTAATGCTGTGATACAATTTAAGCAGTAATTAGGCAAGCACGCTTGCTTTTGCATCCTGCGACAGTATTCTCCCTGAAAATTCCAGACTTCTATAGCTCATGCAGTGAGTTTAGCACCTTCTTACACACTCAGCTGAACGTGGCTTCTAGCAAGCAAGAGTGGATCTATTTCACAGCTCTGTCAAGCAACAGGAAGGTCAGAAAAGTTCACAGTCAAGTTAAAGTGACAAATGGCACATGGACTACACTCTGTGTGTGGATATCAACGATTTTGCAAATGGCATTTACGCTATAATGTTAAGATACACTGTGATGCATTTTTTTTCTCCATTGGGGGAGATTCTTGCATGAATCTCATTTCCATGCCAGGCAATGTTCAGCAGTTCACTCTGCTTAGTTTATCTCAGCCAACAGCAATGCACAGAGTCTACATGAAATGAAAGTGTCCAGGAGGCCGAAGGAACGGGCTGGAGGTCTCTACCTTTATTCTTTGGATAGTGGGTATACATATCAACACAGATAGCCCTCTCAGTCAACAGCTTTCAGTCTCCAAATCCTTTCAATTTTAGGCTGTAAAGCCTTCCGCATGCTGACTATTTTACACTTAGGATTACTTAAAACATTTCAATCTCTGCTATAGATGCTTAGGTAATGCAACAGTTCTGCCACCTTGGGTCACCAGTTTTCTGTACGTTTTGTGTGAAATGATCACTCTGCAGTTTCCCAAAAGGAGTGAATAACAGTCAGCTGTGTCCACTGTTTGCTTCCTGTTTTCCTTATAGAGAATGAAAGGAGAAACAAGGACAGCCTTAAGGCTTCAATATCTCTTCTCCTCCTGGGCTCGAATGGGAAACTTTTATAATATGTGTAATAAAGTTAATTACTGTAACATTAAGTCAGATGTTCTGTGTGTTCCCACCCACCTTGATAAAAACTGTAAGGCTATTTGTTTCATTTGAGATAGGCAGTGCACTGAGATAGGATGGCTGCTGGTCATGAGACAGTGGAAGCTTGTCCTATGTGAAACAGAAGCTAAACTACCTAGAAGGGGAGGCTCACAGAAGTCCCATGGAAGGAAGGGGAGGGTGTAAGGAGGAAAAAAAAAACCCAAAACCCAAACAACAATGTTATTTGATGAACTTACAAGCAACTCAACTAGCAGCCATGCCTATACCAAGAGGAAATGAACATGACTGAGTAAAAGCAGTATTAATAGCTTTGTATAACCAAATTGGAGAAGTCACCAACTTTCAGAGGAACCAACATGTTCAACCGACCTTTCCCCCCAAAAAATTGGATGGATACTTGGACAATTAATGCCTTGTTTTAGCAAAGGTGGCATCCTTAGGAAGAAAGCTGTTTTGGAAGTGGCTCATTTAGTAAGCAGGATTTCAGTGATCAATACTAGGATTTCAACAATTAGCTTATGATACCAACAATTTTCTCTAACGACAACCAGGTGACCCAGAACCTGCAACACCATTCACTCCACGTCGATCTGTTCCAACGCTTCCCTGCAGAACTCTGCCAGCACAGGTCAGAGGCAACGGCCAAGTTAACACCAGCCTCCAGAAACCTCCACCCCAGCAGCTGCTCCCAGAC